AGAGGAGAGGAGAGGAGAGGAGAGGAGAGGAGAGGAGAGGAGAGGAGAGGAGAGGAGAGAGAAATTCTTAAGGGATTTCATATCCATTTATCCAGAAAATAACAAGACTCTTATTTTTATTTTTTCTCCTACAGATTGGAAAGATTTGCAGTAGAAAAATACTATGAGCATTCCAGCAAAGTCATAACAAGCAGAAATTTGTGTGAAATTTGGGAAAATGTCTTAAAATCAATATGAAGAAACACTTTGCTAAAAAGAAAAGACAGATTAGGCTTGAACAGCATAGTCCAAAAATGAATTTCCTTCAGACTGAGCTTTATATAGACATATACCTATATTTAAAGCATCATGCTTTAAATATGAGCAGAAATATGGACTCTGCTTAATCAACATGGATAAAAAAACACTCTAAAAAATGTGACCTGTTGCCYAAGCTGTCCTATGTATAGGTATTTTATGTTGAACAGTGAAACTTACTTTAGGCCTTACTTATTCATGCGAAGAGAATCGAAACATCTGAACTAGACTATTTCGCTAGACGTTTCCTTCTCTGGAGGTCTTCTTCTCTGGAYGCCACYCTGTGCCACATGCTCTGGGTGTGCCTGTTTGAGCAGGAGGGTTGGAATAGATGATCTCTAGAGGTCTCTTCCAATCTTGAACATTCTGTGATGTTCAAGATGTCTCATATCAAGATGTCAGTGTCTCAGGTATTCGGTCAAAGATGTTAATTTGCCCATATAACATTGTACCATTGCATACACAATTACTTATGTGAACTGCTCAGGAAAAAAAGAGCACATATTAAGGTGAAGTAGAAATTCATAGGATCATTAGACTGATGCTCATGTTACTTCATGTGTGCTATACCCACTAGGGTGTTCTATCACAGGAGGTAAACATTTAATGTTCTTTCTTTTGAAACAGGTTATTTGCTCGCTTTCAGGGCTCTAGGGCTTTTTTTTTTTTTTTTTTTTTTTTTTACACCTAACTCTCTGAGACCATCTTTTTAAATCAAGTGTTCAGTTTCCTATTGAAATGAAATTTTAATCATCCTTTGCTTTTTAACTGAAATAGACCGAAGAGTTAACTGGATTTTCAGATTCTTGTGAAAGTGACATCATTTGGACTGAGTTTCTTCAGCAACAGCTTCTCATGATTTCTTCAGAAGATCCAAATCAGGGATGGCGTCACTAGTTAATTTTTATCATCACTATTTTAAATTCCCTCTATAGAAACAGAGAAGGAAGGAGCTAGATTACCAAGAAGAAATGTAAATGGCTGTCCTATGCATACTTCTCAAAATCTGTTAAAATAATGCTGTTCTCTTTTGCTTGAGAGAGCAGGGATTCTGTCAGGGGCAGAAATGATTAATTTATCTGAACATCTGAACATCATGTTATTTATATCAAAATCAGATTCAAAACCTGCAGCACCAGTTACAAATCTGGTGAAAATCAGATTTAAAGCTTGCAGCACCAATTACAAAACAACAAGAACAAAAACAACAATGACAACAACATTGAAACTAACTAGTAGCTAAAGAATGATATAAAAGAAGAAAGGAATAAAGAAATAACCTCCTCCCTGTCCTACAAAATAGTTTTGTTGCATGTTGAATCATTTCCATTTTTTAACAAGACTAACAAGAAATGAGATCCTCTCCAGAGATTTGTAATCAGTCTACATCTCTCTTATATTATCCAAATCTTATAAAACACTCTTCTGAACGAAGTACCTCATCATTGTCTTTGTAGACATGCCTTTGTAGTCTTCACACATGTGGATGCTCATACAATCATTGTTGAGGTCTCCAGAAATAGCTCCTTTTGACTTTTAGAGCAGTTGACAGGTAGAAACTTTCAAAAACAGTTCTGAAATACAGTAATAAATTATAGAATATATAATCATTCATATTATCCAGAGAAGATATATTATTTYTATGCATAACTGCCAAAAGCTTTTGCATAATTGGAAAATATTGCATGTATCAAATAACATTGTTTTCATTAAGAGCCATAAACAATCAGAAGTTATTTATCATTTCTCCAGTAAAGAAAATGATTAAATGAAGTTTATTAGGAAGATAGTTGCAAATTGACTATGTAATATCCATACTGAAGAAGTCAAGGACCTAACTGGCTCACTTTTCTGCAAAATTACATGACTTTCAAAATAGAAAATAGCTATTTTTTGTTTCCTAATGTTTCTCCCTTACTTTCATTTTATTCTCATTATTCCTAGAACAATATGTAATCATTCAATCAACCAGTTATAATGATCTGTTGTTTCAGCTGTCACTGTCATCTTTGGTGACATGTTCTGAATAATCACAATATTTTCAACACACCATTCTTCCTGAATATGTATATAGGTGAAAATTGTGTCATCCACATGTAAAGTAAGCTTAGAGTGTACTAAATAAAAACAGATACCCAAAAATTCACTACCTGAAGAAGGTAAGTTGGTTTTCCTTTGGTTTTGCCAACTGTATGTGAAAGACGGCAGTCATATTGTATATTACTTTAGAATATTTTAAAAACCAATTTATTCCAAATATCCTTAAAGTACTACATACTAAAAACACAAATAGTGTACTTATTGAAGGTTTTCACATGTCTTTTCCCTTCTAAATATATTTCCCCTGTCTGAAGTGAATAACAGGGTGAGAATTAGTAACAACTCAGTGGTGGAGAATAACCAAGGGCAATTGGAGATGCATGTGCRATTGCTGGGCTATGATCCCATTGCAGTGGCTCTTTAAGTGAGAGAGCAAGTGGAAGATATGGAGCTCAGCACAGAGGGGACAAAGCATGGGAGGATTAAAGGGCAGGCCAACAGAGGTAAAACTGGAGGGTTACATGACCAGACAGCTAGGTGGATTGAGAAATTGCTGGATGACAGAGCTCAGCAGGTGGTAATAAATGGGGCCGAGTCCAGTCGGAGGCCTGTGGCCAGTGGTGTCCTCCAGAGGTCAGTACTGGGCCCGGTGCTGTTCATTCTGTTCATCAGTTACTCAGATGAGGGCACAGAGGGCACCCTGAACAATTCTGCAGATGAACCCAAGCTGGATGGAGTGGCAGACACTCCAGAGAGCTGTGCTGCCGTCCAGAGGGATCTGGACAGGCTGGAGAGTTGGGCAGAGAGGAACCTCCTGAGGTTCAACAAAGACAAGTGCAGGGTCCTGCACCTGGGCAGGAATAACCCCAGGCGTCAGTACAGATTAGGAGTTGACCTGCTGTAAAGCAGCTCCACGGTGAGGGACCTGGGAGTCCCRGTTGACACTAAGTTACCCATGAGCCAGCAGTGTGCCCTCGTGGCCAAGAAGGCCAATGGGATCCTGGCTGCATCAGGAGGATGTTGTCAGCAGGTCAAGGGATGTGATTCTGCCCCTCTCCTCAGCTCTGGTGAGGCCGCACCTGGAGCATTGGGCACAGTTCTGTGCTCCCCACTGTAATAGGAACGTGGAGCTCCTAGAGAGGATCCAGCAGAGAGCCACCAAGGTGATTAAGGGAATGGAACATCTCTTGTAAGAGGATAGACTGAGTTAACTGGGCCTATTTAGCCTGGAGAAGAGAAGGCTGAGGGGGAATCTGATGTACATGATCTAAGTACATTAAGGGGGAATATAGGGAGGATGGAGCCAAGCTCTTCTCAGTGACAGCCAGTGATAGGATAAGGAGCAACAACGCACATAAATTGAAACCCAGGCAGTTCCATCTCCATGTGAGAAAGAACTTCTTCACTGTGAGGGTGGCTGAGCCCTGGCACAGGCTGCCCAGGGAGGTTGTGGAGTCTCCTTCTCTGGAGATCTTCCCAACCCGCCAGGATGCCACCTCATGCCACATGTTCTAGGTGAGCCTGCTTAAGAAGCGGGGTTGGACTAGATGATGTCCAGAGGTCCCTTCCTACTTCAGCTATTCTGTGATTTTGTGATTCTATGATTCTGTGATTTCCAGAATGAATGATAAAAATGCACTTATCCAGCAAGACCAGGAAGACAGTAGAATAAATTCTTGTTGGAGTGAAAGGTTCTTTGAAAATAAAAAGCTGTATTATGTTAGAAACAAGCTGCTTGAATTGTATAACCAGAATAAAACAAATGTCTCAGTCTACTTCAAACATATCTGACTTCACTCCTCATAATGAGCCTAACTCCATACCAGACTTCAGAGTGGTTTAATCAATTCCTGCAAGACAGGAAAGATTATTTGCCATACATCTAGCTAAAGGAGGGAACCACACACAGATACTGCATATTAAGATGTAAATCATTCACATAAAGCATTTATTCTTATGGAATGAGGAGCGGAAAGGAGATGGGGAGGAATAAATACAAGGCTGTTTCTCAGACTTACTGACATTTTGTTGATTGTTAACATGAATAAATAATAGAACCCTTTAGCTTCTACACAATTTGAATCTGTAGACATTTTCTCAATCATCTTTTAGTTCATCTCCCATCACAGTTCTCAAGTTCTTTTAGTTTTTCCCACTGGTTTCCATGGCAGGTGTAGTTATCACTTAAATGGAAATGAAATGAAGACAGGCAAAACTTAGGCAGTCTCTGGTGTTWTTCTGAACATATTTTATTTGTCTTCAGTTTTGTGTCTATGTCCAATATCTTGTGCATTCGAAGGCAAAACTTAGCATTTGATTAATATTTACAATACAGAGTTTAAAATGAAGACAAGAGTCTTCATCCAAATTCACAATGAAGAACAGAATTTTTTATTTCTCTAAGGGTACCAGTAAAATAAAATACTTCAGTATTTTAAATGAAATCAATATATCCTCAGCAAATTAAAATTAAAAATAAGTACGTGGGTAACGTGGGCATGAAGATGAAAAATGCTAGCATATGTTAGTATGCTAGAGGTTATTTTAAGAAACAAGTAATAAGGGTACTAAATTACAATCATATTTCAATTGGTCAATCTGAGGGCATGACTTTTGTCTAGCAGCTAATGAGAGATTGACTATTCTGTGCAAGTTAAGGAAGTACTATTTCTTAAGGACAAACTATTGTCCTTAAACTATTTGTTTAGGACTAAAGACCTAAAAACACTGACTGTGAGAACATAAATTGTGCTGAATTGGTGAAGGCAGATATACAAACTACAGTTGTACCTGTAGTAAGGAAAAAGCAGTTTTATTCGGAGAATTTTTGCTTTGACAAGTCTCTTGATTAGACCATGTAATAATCCAAGAACCCAAATCTTATATTTACACTTCGCTCAGGCTCAGCTACCTGCAATATGATATTGAATACAACAGAACAGACCGACAATTGAGAATGGCTTCTACCAAGAAGAAGAATAAAAATCCCTCAGTTAGAAAGTTAAGTCATCCACAATAATCGTGGCGGTRTATAATCTGTTCAGTTGTTATTCTTAAATATAACGTCAATACATCTGTAGGATAAGCAAAGAGAAATCAATAGTATAATTTACCTCAGTGTTCCAAATGCATTACATATTTTCTCATTTTGGAGTAGAAATGTCCTCACTGTAAGGAATTCCATTTTACAAAGATGTGATCTTTCTGATCTCTGTGAAAACCAGAGAATATTGAGTAAATTCCCTCATATACAAACATTTTCCGTAGCTTGAGAAATGAGTAATCACAGAAAATAAAGTAGCAATATTTAAAGCAGCAATATTTAAAGTAGCAATATTTAAATATTTAAATATTTAAATCCAGGAGGAGGCTGAGGAAACAAACTTGCACTGAAGTCAACTCCCACTGCATGTAGTAGAATCTTTGAACTGACTTTAATGGCTCATCATAATTGGAGAAATAAAATATAGAGGCTATGCACTAGGGCAGGTAAAGGACTTCCAATCAATTTAAAAGTACAAAAATCAGATACTGTAGTGTGTTCCCTTGCAACACTTCAGAATGGAATCCAAAACAGAGTATACAACGTCCAAGACACCACCATGCTAAGAAACTTTACTGCAAGGTTTACCCCAGTCTTGCTAGCATATATGCCAAAAAATGCTACCAGGGAAAAGATGTTTGCTTTAAACAAGGAGGTGAACATAAGCACCTGCAAACAACCAGGAGATACAGGAGACTTTCAGATCTTATTTAGATCTCTTGTTTTGACTTTCAGTGGCTTGTCCAAAGGCACACTGCACAAAGTAGAGATATTTATGGGGTTGGGACAGGGCTTGACCACAAGAAAGGAGCTCAGGTCTTCGGGGGGCAGCTCAGAACTGGCCTGGACATGAAGGAAAGCTGGGTGAATGGGGCTGAGAGAAGAAGGCAGAGTGATTTCAGGATGTGCATGAACTGCAGAAAGTGAGAAAAAGACATCACAGCTTTTTCTCATCAAAKGGTACTTGGGCAATGAAAGGTCTGTAGCAAGGGACTGACACCTACCTCCAAAAATGGGGGCCAGGAGGAGAGCATAGGGTATTTTGCAAACATGATTTGATGCATGGACTCATACTGGAGAGACAATTGGTCACTAGATTCACAGGAAAGATGCCATTACACATCCCTTCCCTCCTGGGAGAGGGAGCACTTGCAGAAACACCCTTGGGCAAAGCCCAGCGCCCCTGGTGTGTAGTGCAGGCTTGTAGGACTGAGTGAGCCCAGGCTCTCTGGGGTGGAATAGCAGAAATGGGTGATTCCCTTGCACCAAATCTCTCGAATAGGGGTAAAAGAGGGGGAAGGAGGTGGTGTGCATATGTGTGTGGTGGGGCGAGAGAATATTTCAAGACGAGTTTGACACAGCCAAAGATATTAAGATCTGAGCGCTCACTTTATAAGCTCACTTTTGCCCTGTTTTTGCTGTTTTTGTAGAGTGCCAAAGGTGATCACTGGTGGGGGGCTTCTCTTGCTGTGGTTCTCCTTGAGGAGCAGCTTATCTGAGTGCTTCTTTCATCAGCAATTCCACCAGAAACCACCCGTTCTTCCTTCTGAAGGGAGCTGCTTGTTCTCTCTCCCCAGGGAGTTGTGCCTTACTGAATGCAGGTGCGGTCACCCCCTCAACCCTTTTCTCCCTTCCTCCTCCTCCCCTCCATTTTCATTTTATTTATTTATTTATTTTATTTCCCCAAAGGCAGGCGTTTCCTAGAGGCAGATAGAAGCTGGGATCCCTCCCCCCTGTCCAGGTCTCTCCATCCCTTCGCCTGCCTTCCCGGGAGGCCGGGGGAGGGGGATGCTGCAGCGTTTGGCCCTGGACGTGCTCCTTTTGTTCCGAGGTCCCTAGATGCGCTTTAAAGCCCCCAGCAGCCCAACAGCTTTGAAAAAAGCAGTGTGAATACGTCCCCCTTCGGGGAAGACACTGCGT